ATGTAAATGCGCCGAATGGTAAAAGAGCCGAACGTAATGGTAAAAGGGCCGAATGTAAATGCGCCGAATGTTAAGCTGTTACCGAAGGCAGCGATGGCGTTCCATAGGTTCAAGCTTCAAGAAGCATGAGTAGCATGGATTAAAGCTCAATGGTTTATTAAGACTTGTTATGAACGTGTTGTGTTTAGCCAGTGATACGTGGTAAACATAGCACTGTATAGTACAGAAGGTAGGATAGGCAGGCAAGATGGAAGCGAAACAACACCACGGGGTGGAAAGACGAACATCAGTAGAACACCATTACGAAAGTATTCATGATCATTCTGTAGACGGGAAGGATTCTCCTAACAGCGATAGTTCATACGATTATGGTCAATTTCATTCGGAGACTTATGGAAACGGCGGTAGATCGTACGAGTACGCATACATGTACTCACCAGGAGCCCTATCTACCGGAAGTGGAATGGGCGATTCATTCGACTTCGGGCCCGCGTCCGTTTACAACAACAAACCTTCGCAGCCTGGACACGGACAAGTACCGCCTAGCAGAGAAGAGACCGGAATGTATCAACATTATCCACACCAGCATCTGGCGAAACGTGGAAGCTTTGACAAAACATATCCCAACCATTATGATGTAAACAGTCGCGGTGTTCATTCATCTTCAAGTCCTCGATCAAGTTTCTCAAGTCCTAGAGGTGAGCCAGCCAAATATGGCAGCCCAAGATCTAGTCTAACCAATCAAGCCCACCCTGGTATTATGCAGCCTAATTTTGGCGATAGAATGCCTGGGCAATTAGTCAGAGACGGTGTTAATGCTCACCATCATCACCATCACCACAGTCCTAGGTCTAGCGTTGATTACGGGCATCAAGGAAGGGGCAGGAGTGATCAGAATCCACAGTACAGAACTAGAGGACCCCAACCTCAGTATCCACCACACAGGGGCCCTCCCCATCATCCTCAGAGTTACCATTCACCACCTAGAGGGCCACCACAGCAGCATAGACCTCAACCAGCTAGTTATCAGAGAGTGAATTCCAACTCACAAAGGAACAACCATCCACAGTACCCTCAGAATCAGCATAATAAACCAGGTGGAGGTGTTGTTGACTTGGATAATATTTCATTGATGCTAAAGCAGTCGACACTCCAAGAGAAACAAGGAGGACGACCTTCATTAACCCCAAGTCCAAATAGTGCATTCTCAGGACCACACGAGCAAGCCCTTCCACGTACAGGTATTGACAAAGGGTTTCGAGATCATCACTCTGCAGAACCTAAAGGACCCAACCCTGTTTTTAGAGAACCCATAACAGGGCCCACATCTAAGTCCACTCATCCAAACTCTGGTCCATGGTTAGACTCCAATCAGAACCACCATGCCAACGGAGTACATATAAATGGTGGTGGGCCTACCACAAACCAAGTTGATAATAGAATTAACCAAGCGAAAAAGTCAGAAGTTGAAAACGGACATGAAAGTCCTAAGCAAACTCCGCAAGTAAAGGATCCACATCGGGATTCACATGAAGTTGAAAACACGCGTCCTGCTTTTCGTAGTCAAAAATCGGCACCAACTGGACACCCAGACAACAACTTCAATAACCAATCCAGCGTGCCCGCAAAACACGCAAGGCAGAGCAGTTACCCAAAGACACAAACAGTTGGTGGAAGTAGAATACCAGAAGAACAGACCCCAATTTTGAAACCCAATGTGGGTGCTGTGGAACAACTGAAATCTGCACAAGAGAAGTCAGGCGTACGAAGAGAACCTCTACAAGATGCAGATCATCAGGTTAGTGCCACTAATCATTACAATACTACTAATAACTATAGGCTCAATTGAAATATTAAGACAGTTTCTATTGTTATACCAGTCTTAGCAAATTCGTGATTTTGATTGGATTTTTGATTGTTCTAATCCAATCTATATGATACACACTAATTAAAATTTAAAATTCTTTATGACTAGTATAATTTAAAAAAATTGCCACTGCCAAATATTAAAATTTCAAAGTACATATTAAAAGCATGAAAAAATTGATATAAGAATCACCTTATAATTTCATTTTATGAAATTATAAAATAATTAATTGAGTAACTTTCAACTATGTTAATTTGTATTCACCGAAATTTGGACTGCATCCCTAAAATATACTGAACGAAACGTCTCTTTTAATATTCATATTAGATCCTATTTTCTAATAGGTTCAGTAAGCTTTCCGATATCAACTACTGTAGTCTGCTTAATACCTGTACTTGTTTCCATTTTGTTGAAAATGACATTGGCTATGTTCTCACACAGCTGCTAACGGTTAGCAGGATCCGTGCGTCCATATGAGAAAATCCCGATCTGGATACCAAAAATATGATGATAAGCCAATAAGAAAGTGGAAATTATAAACGCGTACATGTGATTGGTTGATGATACAAATGCGCTCAACTTGCTAACCGATAGCGCTTGCTAACCGTTAGCGGTATCCTGATACTGCTAACGGTTAACGCTAACCGATCGGACGTTCTCACGCAGGTGCTAACAGTTTGCGCTAACGGTTAGCTCCCGATCCAGATACTAGGGCTCTCTTGAGAACCATGCTATCATGTCCACATACAGTAATTATTATTATTTTTTTTTTGTTTGATACAGTACTTAAAAACAACCTGGATTTGTTTTCTGTTTATCTCTGATTCCAGGCGCTTTGTATCCTACAGAAAAGGCATGATATCAAATGCGTGACCATTACATCCTCTACATTTATAGTACATTAGGCCAAGAAAAAAAAAGTAGTTTCTTGTCACTAATATTTTGAAAAAAGGGAGAATGAGGGCATTTTTCCCCCTTTTTTTTTTTCCAACTCCGAGATGGCAAATCTAAGATGGTGGATGGGAAACAGCTACTACTTTCTCACTTTTACCAAGCAGACTCATTGAAAGCAAATAAAAGAAACACTAGACATGATTCATACCAAATGTATCCCTAACCACGAACAATCGAGAGAGGAATTTTTTTTATGCGAGTTAGCCAAATTTTTGTAAAATTAAGGGGGGAAAAAATGTATGATGTGCAGAAAATGATGCGCGGGACGAGAATCTAATATTTTTTTTATTTGGCCATAATTACACATGAATGTGCTAGTTTTACAATAAAATAATAATTTCCTCAAGTCTTATTTTTTCCTCTTCCAATTCAGTTATTTAGCCAAGATGGAAAATAAACTACTGTACAGTATTTTTTTTTTCATGAACCTTTGTAGGATATACTGTATTTATGATTCTTTAGTAGAATTTATTTCAGATAAATTTGCTTTTTGTAGGATTTCCATGGAGTACTGTATGCTAGAATAATTGGGATTGTAGTTCCAAAATTCTCAATAATTGAATTTTTACAACCTTCCTCCCCATCCCACTTCTTCCCCAAACTGAAAATGGTCATACTGTATACAGTACAGTAGCTAGCTTTTAAGATTCTTTACTGAAGTGCGATCTCAGTCTTGTTGTTCACAGTTGCTATATACTGTACTGCACATTAAAAAATATGTATCAACTGTTGTATAAATAACATTTTTTAATTTATTGACACAAATCTCTGCAAGTACTGTACACTGTAAATGTAAGGGTAGATAGAAACAATTGTTTATATTTTTTTATTCAACGTACAGATATTTGTGTTTCTACACTCTTGTTTTATTGTACAACGTAATCTGTACAGTAATTAGGTTTCAACGAGACAAGGAAGTAATTAATGACAGAAATACATAGTAATTAGGCGTACTAATTGAAACAATACTATGAATTATAATTTAATTAAAGAAACATAAATACAGTACAGGCAAGTCAATGCAGATTTTATTTTAGAAATTACTAGCATACTGTATACTGTACCTGTGCTTTGCACGGTGTTAGTGTGTGAAAAGGTGGTGAGACATATTTAAATGTTATGGGAAGTTGAGGAGGCAGTTATAGAGGATGTTATACTGTAGTTACTGTACCTTGTCGTTATATTTTTGTAAAGGACCTCTTTGTAGATAATGTTTTGCTTGAGTATCTCTGCCCAATAGTCATTGTGAAGAAATGTTCATTTTGATAAAATGCAACATACTGTATATATTTGGGCATGAGATACACACAAAGAGACATAAATATATACAGTACAGACAAATCAATGCATGTTATATTTTAAAAATATAAATTATTGTACAATTAATCTGTGTCACAGGTTTTAAAAATGATGAGGGGGCGGGGGGAGGCTTTTTTTTCCCTTTTATTTTGCTATTGGCCAAATACCACCCTTGGGTTGTTTGCTTGTGCATTGATTTTCAAAGTAAAATATGATTGAGATAATAATGTACAAACAATATCTACTAAAACTATATTAATTTTTAAAAATTCAAAAACATTTTTTTCCAATACCGTACTGTAGAAGAGAGTGATAAACTAATAATTTTTTTTATTGGGCCTAATGTCACTTAATTGGGCTTTAACAAGGCAAGTAATTAATAACCGAAAATAGTACAAAATTCAATGCAGATTTTAATTTAAATATTGTTGGCTATACAACTCTAAAAAATACTTGCCTTTATACCACTTTTAAAAATACACGGTATAAACTTTCATTTTTTTGCACTATACATAAGTACAGTCTACATAGAAATTTGGTATTTTTTTATATTTTATTTTAAGTATGTAGGGGGGAGTGGAGGGGCAGGGCAACATATACTGTATCTTGATATTTTGTATTGTATCATCGGGACTAAAACAACCGATTTCACAAACTATATTAATATGGTTATTTGATTACTTCTAGGAAATGAATACTATAATAATAGTCATAATAATATTTATTATTGTTATTATTTTTTATAATTTAATTAATTATTTATTGTTATTATTTTTAATAAATTATTATTATTATTATTATTATTACTACTATTATTATTATTTTTATGTTATTATTATTTTAATAATATTTATTATTGTTATTTTTTATAATTTAATTAATTATTTATTGTTATTATTTTTAATAAATTATTATTATTATTATTATTATTACTACTATTATTATTATTTTTATGTTATTATTATTTTAATAATATTTATTATTATTGTTTTTATTATACATATTATTATTTTTATTAAAATTTGCGCTGATGGGTTCATCTTCAATGTGAATCTTAGGCAAATTTGTGAGTTTGTTTGATCAATTTCTTTGACAAGAGATCTTCACAATGGTTCTGAGTCTGATAATTGACAATGTACAGTCATTTAAAGCACAGGTGGGCAAAGTGCGGCCCGTCAGCGATTTTTTTGTGGCCCGTGACAGTGAATTAAAAATCCTATGTTTGCGGCCCACCAAATCAAAATTGGCTAGAAAACACCTTGTGTTTTTACGGCCCGACACCAATAATATGTAAAAAGTAACATTAAAACTAAGAATAAAGGTGATGTAAAAGCAGTGATTGGAGGTTTTTGGAAGCTCACTGGAACATCAAAGTTTGGGTGTGGCCCTATGGGTTAAATCAAAAGTTCACTTTGGCCCTCTGACCGATTTTTATGCCCACCCCTGCATTAAAGGATTAAAGTGCACTAGTTAAAAAGCTTACAAGTACAGCACAGTACTATGCACTGTACAGTATACAGCTGGTAGTTTGTGTTTGGGAATTTCTGGCCTATTTAAATGAAAGCAGAAACATCTGATAATTAATGAGGGCAAGATGTGCATTATAGGCTTTTAAATTATGAGCAAATTTACAGCTGCTTTGAGCAAAGGATTTATTAGTAAATCATGGATAACACTTGTACCCTGCATTCTTCTATGGACTCTCTTTTGGATAATTTAGTGAATAAAATGAAGAATTTTAAAAGTTGGGACTAAATGGGAACCCAGTGAGGCCTACTATATTCTTTGTGGTACCATAAAAGTTTAGTCATTGAAGTGTACTATGTCCCTTTTCATAATTAACTTTATGGTTCAGTGTATATAAATAGTAGTTTTTAGATCAATTTACTTTTTTTGACTAGATAGACTATTGTCTTTTTGTTTTTTGAAGATAAACTGACTGTCATAAAATCTGGGAAAACCTCAGCTACTGTGTTCAATTAAGAAAATTGAATAGCTCTTTTTAAAAGATTGAATAAAGCGAAAGTACTATGCTGTTGTAGGCCTACTTTCATTAAAAATACAGATTGAACAAAAGGCTTGAGTACAGCGTGTAAAGCAGTAGCGCAATACAAAGTTGTTTATTACCAGCCAGCTTGTTGCATTTTCAGTACACTACCACCAACAATCACAAAAATTAAAAAGTCACAAAATAACAGTATATAGAAGTGGTTTGGCGCAGAGGGAACAGTTTGGTTTCCCAACATTGAGGTCGGGGTTTCAATCCCTAGCTGTGCATTTCGCTTTTGTCTGTGAGCAAGGCACTTTATCTGCATTGCCAAGAGAATAAGTGGGTACCTGAGGAGGTTTGAGTGCAAAATTGCAGTGCTGTTTATCATGCAGCAAACTATGGAATTTCCCCCATGCATCATTCCTATGATTGGGGTAATAATGTGGAAAAGCGCTCTGAGACTCACAGTTGTATAGAGCGCTATATAAAAGCCTACATACATATTATTATTATTATTAATTATTATTATTATTATTATTATTATCTCCGCCAGTCGAGATATATGTTTTCGTTTGTGTTTGTGTAGCGCTTTACTGTTTCAGTTTTTTTTCTTGTGTACAAAATATCTCTGAAACGGCTGCACATAGTATATGTAAATTCCAGTTACTGGGATTGTTAAGTATGACCCAAGGATGAGGTGCTAATTTTGATGACTGTCCGGAGTAGGGTGTGGATGTATCTTTATGTTATTATTATTTTAATAATGTTATTTATTATTATTTTTTATTTTTATTTTATTATTATTATTTTTATTAATTGAAATAATACTGTATTGTGGTACTGTACACCACATAGATAGTTCTGAAAAGAACTGTTGTTGGTTAAGAATGTTTCATCCAACAACAGTTCTTTTCAGGACTATCTGCAGTACTGTACAGTATGTGTTGTACCGCAAGCATTAATATATTGTTATTATTTATTATTATTATTATCAACATCCAATTAGTACTAGATGAAAAAGAAATCAATATTATAATTACAGACATGTTATGAATATTACGAAAATTTTTAAATGTGGTAATAATAAAATCCTTGGCATGATATTAATAATGAATACAGTGGTAACAGTACAGTTATAGAATACAGTATACTGTACTGTAGTTCTGTTTTTATAAACCAACTTTATTTAATATACCGTAATAATGAAGGTATGTAGACTGTAAATATATTGCACATTAGCTTGTCTGCTAACAATTTTTAAATTCTGAAGTCTCCTTCGCAATAAATGCTGACATTTTAAACACAAGTCTTCAGCTCTACACATTAATTTGGTGATATAGAATCATACGCAATTATGACAGAAATTATGTTTATAAGGGTTCCCCTTGGGACAGATTTCAAATGATCACTTGAGGGATTGTTAGGACTGACTGACAAACATTAGTACACACTGTATAGTACTGTATACTACCGGTGTACAGTATACAGTACATGTGGAAAAAAAAAAGACACCAATATATTATCACAGATATTATTGTATTGTAAAGGGTAAAGGCAAAGTAAAACATTTGTAGGTTTGTGCCTCAACTACTGCACCAACCGCTTCCAAATGCATAATTCTGTACTCTGATATTTTTCTATGATATACTGTATGTAGAATAACCCATAACTTACAGCATCATCGTACTGAATTGCTTATGGGCGTGGTCCTTGACTACCTAGTAGCATCATCATAATGACAGGGGCTGAAATGAAGTTCCATAACTTCGGGGTAACCTCCTACTCTTGCGAAAAACCATAAGAGTTCTTTAAAATGCACACAAGGCAAATGTATACACTGGGCCTCCATTTTAAATCTTTATCCGAGAAGACTTCGTTCTACCAACCTAACCTTGGGCAAGGAGCGGCTGGAACCAGCGCAGATGTTAAGGCTGTAGTTTGCGGCACCCCTGCCTTACCACTTGACTTTGAGAATGAGAATAGCTCATTCGTGGCTGTGGAAGAAACAGAGTTTGCAATATTGAAAATCAAATTTTAAATGAGCCTCCACTTTATACAGTTAAGTAATTTAACACTCTATACATTGACTCCAAGGTGAGTGAAGTGATGACAAGATAATAAATTATGGAGATGACCTTAAATGCATAACAACATTCCAACATCAATTAATGGGAAACCTAAATATTTTACCAGTTGTATCATATTTTTTACTTCACTAGTATTTTAATTACAATAAACTACAAGATATCAAAGTATTTTATGAAGCAAAGATTGATTCTTCATATCTGATTTTTAAAATAGAAGTGGTATGGCTTTTTTTCCCCACAAAGAACAAATTCAAGTTTTAAATGTCATTTATTTGACCTCTTCTGGCATCATGTGACTACTCCACATGACTCACAGACTCAATTAACCTCTGACATCCGACCTGCAAAACTATCCTTGACTCTAGATGAGATTAATTTTCTGCTGAGGTCACCTAAGGGTAGGAGAAGGCTTCTGAGCAGCACCATTGTGGTGATGATAAGGTTGAGGAAGAATGTTTGCCAACTCATAAAAAGCTACAGTAGCCTGATCAGATGTTACAGTTTTGGTAGTCTAGGTTTTAAACATAATGGCACTAGACAATTACTAGTAGATAAACATCTATAACTTTCCCCTGAAGCAATTGAAGCAAGTTTTGAATTGTTGTCACAGCCGAGTAGTTTTATTGTGTAAAAGGTTGAGGAAGATGATGGAATTCAGGGTGAGTTTACTGTACACTTGAAGTTTTATTCTTTTGCACAGTTCAGACGTTTTTGCTGGAAGATTTACTCATATCAAGAAATTGAAGAGTCAGTCTAAGCTTTCTATAGGTCTAGACGAAAGTATACCTGAATATGAGGGCTGTGGTATGTTTAATTTGAATTATCGGTGGTTTTTAAAAGTATTTGCATTGGTGTGTTTCCTGTTAGGGGCTGAATTACTGTACAATGGGACGTCTGTCTGTGTCATGTGAATCAATACCAAAACCTTGGTCTTCCAATATACAATGCTAAGATTTCTCTTGTTCTTGTATTATGTCCTAATGCTAGTTTCCCTTTCCTCATCAAGTAATACTTTTGTTATATTTTCACTGTTTTAATGGCCCAAAAGTATCAGCTACAGTACATACAGAAAATTCTCAATAGTGGTATTTATAGAGGATTCATTTGGTGAAAGCTCATGTTGTTTTTTTTTCATTTATTTACATTTGTTAATGTTACTCTTAGTCTGCAATACACAAGTTATGCAAGTTTTATAGGTTCTTGAATAATTTGAGGTTCTTGAATAATTGGAACCCATTCCTAAAAAAAGCAGAAGTTGTTGGCCGTAATCATTCAATGCCAAGGGTAGTAGAATTCACTCCAGAATAAAACCATGTAGGATAATAACTGTGTAGTGTACTTTTACACCTATCGGCGTAATTATGTACGCCTGTATTGAGTATTGTATACTAGATCAAGGAATTTGTTAATAAAAATGTTTTTGAGGTCTTCAATGATAATAATGTTATCTTCCCATTTTTATTGCTGTATCTAACAACATGTCTACCCAAACTATCATGAAGAATAATTTTTAAAATATTTTCCTATATTTTCCAATTAAAATTTTCTTTTTTATAATAAATTTATACCCGAAGTACAATGATTTAATACTTTTTCATTTTTTTTTTTCACTTTTTCATATAGTTTAAACCTGTAAAGGAGGGAAGCTCTTTTGTGGAGAGTAGTAAGATACCTCCCCCATCAGATTTCCAGGACTTGTCGTCTGGACAAAACAGTTTCCACTCAATTGCCGTCCAACAGGAAAAATCCCACCCAATCTCTGGGCCATCCTATGCGACTGGTCCCCCAACTTTGGGGCGTCAGCTATCCCGAGGCTCAAACCCATTACTTCGATATGAGGTTATGGGACCTAAGCAGAAAGGGATGTCAGAAGCTGAACGAAAACTAGAAGAGTTAACTAAACAATTGGAAAAAGACATGGAATCAACGACAGAAGAAGAATTTGGTAAGCAGTTTATTATCTTTAAATGCTGTATTGTATTACAGTAGAACCTCGATTTTACGTACGGTACGGGACCAGAGGGCGTACGTAAATCGGGGGATTCGTAAAATAGAGGTTGGGTTAAATTTGTGGTAACCTTTGACCTAATACGTACGTAATGCTCAATAAACGTATGTACGAACGAACGATGATACCTAGGCTAGACCTAGGCCTAGCCTCTAGGCCTACGAATAAAGCCATGTGTTTAGTGTTCTTATTCATCACTTTACGATGTCATAATAAAGTGTTCAAATAAAACCATGTGTCTAGTGTATTAATTCATCACTTTATATCTTTTATTTAACTAAAATAAAGAACATGAAAATATTGTAAGATTACCTATACGACAAAGGTATAACTTGGGAATTCCCCTACATGCCTATTATTATTGTCTGGGCCTGTTGAGACAAACTAAACCCATGTGCGCTGCACTGGGCAAGCCAACCAATTAGCGTTCGTGTACGTGAAACAGCAACCATGTGCTATGCACTGGGCGAGCGACTGGTCCCCCAACTTTGGGGCGTCAGCTATCCCGAGGCTCAAACCCATTACTTCGATATGAGGTTATGGGACCTAAGCAGAAAGGGATGTCAGAAGCTGAACGAAAACTAGAAGAGTTAACTAAACAATTGGAAAAAGACATGGAATCAACGACAGAAGAAGAATTTGGTAAGCAGTTTATTATCTTTAAATGCTGTATTGTATTATTACCTCTTTTGGGGTTTCCATGGTCTATAGTAACTTTGGTTTCTTAATTAGAATAATAAAGACTATTAAAGACATTTGTTAATTTGGGACTAGACTGAAAATGGGTTTGTAATTAGAGGTGGTCTATTGGGGGGAGGAGGTCTTTACTGTAATTGGAGGGAGACCTGTATTTCCTTTTTTTACAGTAACAACATAGTCAAATTGTTTGATTTGTTCTCTAGTACAACTGTATATGATAATAATTTAAGTCAACAATCTTAATGACAAAAGCACAAGGATATATTTACATTGAATGAATTTTTTACTTGAAACTTTACTCAACATTTTAATATTTTATAAATTACTATCTTGATTTACAGTAATGTATTATGATAATGCCTTAATTGTATCTTGTTATTGTCTGTTCGAAGTTGTTTTCATTTTTAATATAGGGTATTTCACTTGCCATGTTAATGTACTATATTTTATTTATCTATATGGAACAAATGGTTTTTTTTTTATATCTATATAAAATTTTAATGACCCAGAAATGTACTCGCTGCTATTTCCATATTGGACAAATAAAATTGAATCTGTAGCTGGAAGTGGGAGGCAGTTTCTTGTAGGGGACGACAGTGCAATGAGGTCATTGTATTTTGTAAACAAAGGTTTACTTAAACCTAGCCAAACATAGCTAGCCTCCAATTATAGCACATTCCTTTGATGTATAGTCACAGAGCTGCTTTAAAATGAAACTACTTTTAATGATTATCATCATATGCACCATTATTCAGGTTCAGGGTGCCTTTGAATCACTCTGGAGATATTGATGATTTCCTTTATACTTTATAGGGGCCTGTGAGAGATAGTACTGTACATATTGTACTGTACCCGAAAATCAAGGGCTTGTATGAAAGTCCTTTCAAATATAGGTTATTAGAAGAAGGAGTTAAACAGTGCTGTAAAACCACAGACAAGCAATATGGCTGCTACTGTATTATTGTTGTACTGTATGTAGTTCAAAATGACAATACTGTATAGTAAAGAGTGAACAGTTAAAGTCAATAAAACCAGTTGGGGTTCTGTTTAATGTAAGGGTCAGGGAATAAATCCAATGTTATAGTAAACAAGCTGAGGCAACATGTGAGGTATCAAATGCTAACTTTAGGCGTATTTAGAGGGATCAGGTGCGCAAGTAACACCCACATTCTTTAAAAGAATATTTTTTGATTATAATAATAGTTTAGTCACTTTAAATATATTGTACAGTACCTTGAAATATGACAAGAAATCATATAAAATAATTTTGAAGTAACGTAATTATTAATTTCAATAAGCATTTTAACAAAAATGTATTTTGGTGAGCCAAGTGTTAAGAAGAAAGTTATTGTACTTGGTATTATTTTATTTTATTATTTATTTTTTACATTATTAAAGTAATTAATACAATCTAAGAATACAGTAATTTACTTGAATTTACAAAGATCAAAACTGCCTATCAATATTCAAGCAATGAACTGCAAACATTAATGTCTCATAATTCCAAAGATACCAGGATTGAGTAGCAAAGGTGTGCTGGTCCAAACTAACAAATCTCTTATCACAAAATTTAACAATGAAGAGCCAAAACATATCAACAAAAAGCTACAAAGGTTGCCAAGGAACATTTGGTGTAGAGGTTGTAAAAAAAATTATGTGGGCCTACTGTATACTAAATTAATACACATTACAAAATAAAACAACGTGGTATCAAATTGTGGGAGTGAGGTGGAGAGGGTTGTACTGAGATATTTATCTGATGCATTTAATATCAAGAATTTTAATTGATCACATATAGACAAGAATATCGATTTGTGGGACATTCAATTTGAAATCAAAAGAACTTACTGATACTGTAGGGTTATCCATGTTTGTAGTAAACAAAAATGTTCAATTAAATAATTTATAATATTCTCATTAAATTTGCTTTATAATGCAACATTAATGAGGTTTTTACATGGCTGTTTTATTCACTTTTTTTTATTTTGTTCATTTTGGCAAGAAAATACAAACACATTACATAAGAAGTAAAACAAAATAAAGTACAAATTACAAGGAAACTCAAATCAGTGCCAAGGAATAACAAGTTATACTTGTATTGAAAGTTCATAAATTTATTTCATACATTCCATATGATGTGAAAATAATTATAACATAGGAAATATCTCAAGTTATTTTTATTATATGATCACTGTGTAATTATTTCATTATTTAATTTATTGTTGCTTCTGATTGTAGGTATATGTGTCAAGTGTGGAAAGAAGGTCAAAGGAGCCGGTCAAGCGTGCCAGGCAATGGGCAGTTTGTATCATACTCGCTGTTTTACATGTGTATCATGTGGTAAGTATTCTTAGAAAATAACTGGTTTCCTTTTAAGATCAGTATTGTCCACTAGAACCACAAACATTTTGCAAGCTGTGGGTTGTCACCCACTGGTGGATCAACGAAATATTTTGGTGGGTCGCGAAGCCTTGGCAGAAATGTCAAGGCTACTACGGCTAGCGCTCTCTGAATTATGGGTCACGTTTCATGTTGTCCGAATTTCAAAAGTTGGACGTCAGTCTAACGCTCTCCTACAGTATAGCGTTTAACAATCATAAAATTCAATTTTGAAAAATATTTTGCTCAAGTTGAAGTAAAATATGAATTATACTTGAACCTAAAAGTGTATTGTGTTTAACAAATTTTGCACATATAATTATAACATTACCACAATAAATTATAAAAATGATAGAAAGTACTTCTAATCACTGGGAGTGTTTCTTCTGATTCTTAATCATTATTGGTTTTTTATGCTAAAGGTTATGTTTTACTTAATTTTATTGATTTTTATGATTTGTTTTGTCAACTTGGGTTAATACTGTACATCCTTACATGATCACATACTATGTACTGTACTGCTATGATCATCATCATCATCACTAATTCTGTTTCTGATTTAATTTTTTGTTACTTTAGTGTCAATGATGGCAGAAAATTCGGCCAAATAAAAAAAATATACTTGTTAAGCGTCAACCAGTCAAAAATTTTTATTATCTAAAATTTTTTTATTTTGCCTTATAAGTAGAAATCTAATTGTATTTGCCATGTTCACTAATCAGATTTGAGCAATAAAACCATGTAAATTCGGTATTGAGTTTCACCAATCTATGACTTCCTTGTTATTATCATAACTCACTGGTGAAGAACATTACTGGTTACAGATTTTTATCAATTATAAGATCCTAAAAGTCCATTTAGGAACGTGATCAGGCGGTCAATAATGTGACTAAATAAATACTGAGGGTTTCTTTTTTTTTTTTTTTAGATGAATATCTCCATTTACAATGACCCTGTGACCTCAAACAAAGGCAAAATTTCAAAAGTCACAAGTACTTGTGGTGTACAGTATTGATTGCAAGTCAGGTTTATAAAATATTTTCAAACAGCATGGTGCAATGTGGAATGTTGATCTCAATGATAAAATGTCAAAAATGTCTGCTAAATATGACAAAATTTTTTGCTTGACCTCTGACCCTCATTTCTATTACATTACTTTGTGAAATTTTGTTTTAGATTTTCTTTACATGTAAATTCATTCAGTTGTAGCTTATAAAAAATTACAAAATCATTTGTATTTAAGCAGAGAAAAATAAGATGCAAATGCTATAAGGATTTTCAAATTATTACTCTTGAAGACACTTCACTTAAAAGTTGTTTAGCATATTAAATGCTTGTGGTACACTAGATGGTGTACTACAAGCATTTTACTTCGCCATGCAAACCTCAAAAATCATAAATATTGCTATGTTTTACTTACATTATCACCGTAAACATTTGATATTACAGTATTTCTTTCAATATACGTGGGTCTTGTATTAAGAAGACTAATAATCGGCGATAAAATAATTTTTTTTATTACATAATTTTATTGTTTTAATTGAATTTGTTATCGTTTTCCAACATTTCACGACAGATAATATTATATTTTCCAATCAAGTATTGTTTCAACTACACTGTGTTAACCAAGAACTATTTTAATCACACAGTTCAAGTCACTCGATTACTGTACAGTTTGATTGTTAGTGGTCAACAGACTGTACTGTATGATCTCCACTTTTGGTTTGACCTTATTTTATTTCTTGCTTTCAGGTCGAGCGTTAAGAGGCAAGGCTTTCTACAATGTTCACGGAAAGGTCTACTGTGAAGAGGACTATCTAGTAAGCTATAATTTGCATATTCATAAGTTATAATTGATTACAATTCATAATCTGTATTTGCTAATTTGCATATTCATTAACACTCTCTGCTTAATTTTTAAAATATCTATTAGAGTGTAAGATTTAAATATTTTCCTGAATAAATACTTTGTGTGTCAAAATTGATATATTAAGTTTTAAATTTTAAATTAAAAAATGTTTGTGGAAAAAAGTATTTTTGTTATCTAATTAGGAAAAACATTATTTATATTTAATAAGGGGAAACTTTTTTATACATTTTTTATACCTGCCGCCTGCCAATAATGATAATTTCAAATAAATGTAAAATTGTATTTTTTGGCCTATTAAAAATAATAATTTTTTCTTTAATTTTATTTTAGGCTGCTACCTTGAAATCTTCCTAATTATATAAATTTGAAGCATTAACCATCCCATTACCACACAGTTTACATTCACCAATAATCCATCTGGATGTTTTTGGCAAAACTATTTGCTAAATATGGAAACAAAATTTCATTTTAATTTTTTTTCCGCTTTCCTCTGACGATCTTTTTTTAAATTAGTTCACGAAACAAGGTATTAAAGAGTCTCGCCTAATAAATGTCCACAATTATATTTTTTATGTATGACTTTATTTTGAGTTGGGAAGATATTATAAAAAGGTACCACAGTAAGAGAATAGAATTCCAGTAGTTCACTGCGGCAGTAAAAGTTACGCTTCATATATGAATATTCATTATGTTCCTAACCTCGTAATATTTTTCGAATTAACTTATTTCCTTCACCCTTGGCTTTACTGGGAGTTAATTATTACGTTTGTCTTTCGATGGCAGGAATACGAAAAATCAATGAGCAGTGGCCATGCATCAGACTTGATTGAATAAAGTTGAAGTGTATAGTGTTCGAGAGAGACGATGCACGGTCAAAATAAAGATACATATATATTAAAATTTAATTTGATATAACAATATAATATTACATCATGAAGAAATCTTCAATGATTATTTTAAAGATAAGAAAATAACACTATGCATACAGTACATTACTTTCTTATAAATTTATATTGCATAACTACGGTATGTTTATAGTAGGTTACAGTTCACCCTCGAATCCGGGACGCCTCTCATTTCCAGGACTCTTCTAATTCGAGACCAGCAAATGTTTCAAGTTAAGCATTTCCTAGTACATAAATTTTTTCCCCTTTATTGAAATACTAAACTGTATTATATCAAACACATATCGTGAATGTACAAATTTAATGTATATAAATTGTAGTTAGGTTTAAATTTTAAATATTATACAAAGAATGATGTGAAGTTTGGTATCACTACTTTCAGTCTTAAGTATTATCCCCTAAAATTCTTTTGATATTAAATGCTATCAAAGAAGTGAAGAAAGCCAACATTAACAACAAAACAAAAACCATACAAAAAAAATGTGAGATAACAAATTATTTATATTATACAGTATATGAATAGTTGAAAAAAACTTGCTCATTTGCATTTCAACACAAAATTTTCATAAAATATTGATTTAAGCATCTATTGTAACAGGAAGTAGGCAAGTTGACTCAGGCTTAAAATATAATTTTTAAACATTGAATTCTATCATATGTCTTCAGCTTACTGTTGCTATTTATACACATGATATTAAATATTAATCATTTATATTAAGTATCACAATTGGTTATTAAATATTGTGCAATACAGATAGTAATATCCTAGGTCACAAGAATGTGATGATTACAGCCTGTATCAAGTTCATAGTCATAACGATCGGCTTCTACATATCCAGGGCACACAACGATAGACAGACATTTTAATTTTAATGTTTGGCATCTTCTGAGCATGCTCAGTCCATTTATTTATCAGATCATTCATTCTGATAAAATAGATAAACAGTCGATCAAAATATAATGGCAGATATTAGGACATTAGTGCATTTGCAATGTGTTACTGTTTAACGCAAGTTCGTTGGAAATATAATTATTTTATTAATATACTTTTATATTATCAATCTTATTCTGCAGTATTGCAAATGTGATATACTTTAGTGTTTGTAATTTGAAATTTAGCTTTATTGCAGTCAATTAAAACATAATTGGGTAAAACAAACAGTACTGAAAATTTGAAATATTATAAAACACATTCAAAGATATCAATAATATAAAAATACAAGAAAAACACCAAAATCATTGAGCAATTTGGATTAATTGCAAAGGGTCATTAAATCAGTTTGCATTTAATTCAGACGAGTTCTTTTAAATTGTAATGCGAGTTTTCAATGTGAGTTCATAGGAATGTTGTTTTGCCCTAAATGAAAATTGCTTTATTTACTGATAGAATATTGTCATGTTCTAAAAAAAGCTTTTTCATGACATCACAGTTGTTATACAATTAGTGTAATTATTTTTTTTAATTTAATTCCTTTGTCTTACTAATATCCACTATATAGCAAGTTTGTATACATTTACATTTGTAAACATAGTTGTTGTTATTACCATAAAAATGTTAGCATTTATGACTCGAGATCATAACCTGTAAACTTGTCCTCAGGCCAAAAAGGATGGCATAGAATATATTATTTAATTTAAAGCCGACAGTAGTAGTATAGTAGTACTGCATTAAATATAACAACAGTATTATTACAATGACATTATTATAATATGGGGAGCTTGTTGTAGTTGCCACAGCATCACCAGTTACGCCACCTGCTCGTCCTTCCCAGTTTAGCGAGGACAGCACTTCCATTGGGAACAATTATTCAAGACAAATAATTTCTCAACATCAATTGGAATTCTTCCAAAAGTTGAAACATGATACAATATCTGGTATCCATAGCAACCTTCATCATCATGTAAATGCACACAATCATTATTTATATGAATCCATTTCATAATAAATACATGGCAATCAAAATATATATTGATATAATTCATGTAGTAGTATTAGTTAAGTTCATTCCAACAGATAAGGTAATATACAGTAATACTATTCCTGCTATGAATTTAAATGGGTGGTATTGTTAAAATGTTAATGTATTGTTTTCATGTTAATGTATTGTTTTCATTTATTTGATAAATCTTATACTTTTATTTTTTTTTAAATTGACTCTGTATATAGATGAAGATTATTTTATGTTTCTTTTAATGATTATAAAATGAGAACATAGTATCTATTGGTCTGTTTTTATTAAAATTATAATTTAAATTATATCATATTAATTGTAATTATGTTTTCTTTCACAGTATTCGGGCTTTCAGCAAACAGCAGAGAAGTGCGGTATTTGTGGCCACCTTATCATGGAAACGGTAAGAATTTTCTTTAGTATCAATTGATATTTGTTAATTTCAATCATAAAATAATTATTTTCCATTATTATATTAATTGAATGTCATTCTGAGGAGCTGTATGTACAAAAGCAGAAAGGCCATTTGCTTCCTACAGTATTTTTAAAGAGTCTTACAGGATTTGAACATAGGACCTTGGATTAGAAGGCAAGCATGCTTTTTTAACCACTATGCTACAGTTACACTGCAAATTAATTCTTTTTGATTATGTACTGTAAACCTTCAATCTTGATGATGTCATTTTTCACCTTTGGTGACCTAAGCATCAGCTGTAACAATATCATTTTGTAATCTCATCAATAATTTCACATATGTTATAATTTTGTTATACTGTAATATTATAGATACTGGAAACCAATAAAAATGAGATTGCTACATTGTAGTCACCATGAGTGCATTTTATAATAACAATAATTTAATAATAATAATAAATAATAGAAAATTTATATTTAATAGTTAATATTTAATTTTGTTGTATTATTTATTGATTTTAATCATCATCGTCATCAGTTTTACCATTTAATAATTTAGTATTGTTCCAGGTTTTTCAAGGTGTGCTAATTATTGTAGTATTAATGTAAATTTTGTTTTTGTTTACTATTATTACTATATTTATTATTTTATATCTAGTGTGCTACCAAAGGCTTAATTTTCGTCAATGTTTAGTTATTTCATTGAGTCACTATGGTATATTATAAAAACTAGAATATGTCCTCGTGAATATTTGTAAATTATAATCATCTGGTAAAGTAACTCGATCAGTCTTGAAACCATCTTCATAAAGACAGACATTGGTAGCCATGGATATGATGCTAACATTTGGATGATGATCTTCTCATAACTATATACAGTGAAATATCACCACATTGCAAAAGTCACAAAACAAATCAGTATTCATAATACTGTATGCAAGCTTTTTTATAAAAATAATGATATTTTTAGAATCATAATATACTGTATAGTAGACAGCAAATATATTCAATTAGATGTTGCTTGTATCTTTCTGTTCACATTGTAAAAGATGAATATACAGTAAACGATAAATTATATGATTTGTCTGAGCACTATATAGAATTCAAATTACAGTACATGTGTATGATGATATTATTCTTGATACTACAGGTATCAATCTAAAAAATATGCTAATTTTCTTAGCCTGTCCTTAGGGTCTACTAATGTTCTACAACTGAATAATGCTATTATTAGCTCCACCTTACTGTATGTCTGCATACCTGTGTTAATATTATTATTATGCTTTTAAATGAGACGAAGCCTTATGTGTCAACAGAGGTCTAGTCTTGTGAGCATACGCAATTGGCTTTCTTTCACATAGATAATTACTGTAGTACTGAAAGTGCTTTATAGTAAAAATACAATTAAAAAATTAATAATAATAATAATTTTTATATTTATATTGTAATAAATGAATATAATAACAATTGTTAAATAATTAAATAATAATCACAATTGCAATTTGAATATTTAGAATGATTTCCTGTTCAATGTACTTTTTTGTTATTTTTTTCTCAATTCAGTTCAGCGAACTGCAATGAAAAAGTTTTATTTGAATAAAGATACCTTGATATATATATAGTTACATTTAAATAAAAATAGATATTAATAATAATGGTGATGAAATGGGTTTTTTTTAGAAATGAATAAAACAAGAAATTAATTTTTATAATTAATGCAAAATCAAGATTATAATAAATAAAAGTACAATTCATAACACTTATCAAAATGATTAGAATGGCATCACCTTCATTATCATCATTCCTTTGCAAGTGTTTCTTATGTTAATAACAGAGCTAAACGAGTTTGTGAAAATGTCACATGCACGCATCAGATTCCGGGTATGCTAATTAATGCTGAATGCGCTCAGGACAATGTTTCAAATTCAATATTGGCTAAAGTCAGAGACAAAGAAAATTAATGAATTCAATAATGGTTTGGTCATTGGTATACTGTAGGTACAATAGTTGTCTGTTGGCTGTTATTGTGCAGAAAACTGTTCTCTCATAAAATTTTATTATATTATGTCTATTTAGTGCGGTGATATTTCTATTAATACTAGAATATTAATGTATGGACATTCAATAGGTTTAAAGCTAATAAATAATTTGCATACTAAAATTCAATGTTTGATTTAATTTGTACTGTAATGAATTTTTATAGCATTCAAATGAAAACAAGAAGTATTTAGCAATGGCAGATCCAGAAATTCAAAATACTGTAAACAGGGCCTGGGTAGTGACTTTCATAGATAGAGGGTCCACCTACCTCAGCCAACTATATTATGATTACGGCACTTCTAGATGGCCGAAAATGGCACTCCCATGCTTAAATTTGAATATAAACTGCCAATGTAAAGCCAGTTTTCCACTAGGCGATTTCATTAGTACAAATCGAAAGCTTTGGTTTATGCGCATTAACATTTATTTCTATCTGAGTTTTTCGCAGATAGAAATCGAAAGCTTTGGTTTATGCGCATTAACATTTATTTCTATCTGAGTTTTTCGCTTCAGCGAAATCAGTATTTCGAAACTGTTTCTACTTTTTGTGAAGCAAAAGAAATGCGCAACCAATCACGGTTTAGAAAAAAGAATCAACACTTTTGATTCACACGAATAAGTTCACCTAGTGAAAAACAGGCTTAAAGGTAATGGTTGGTATCCTGTTTTCTTCTGAAGTATAGGAATGAGCTGTTGTGAGCCCATTGTACTAAGTGTACAGTAATACATTTTGCCAGTCCTTTTTACAGTTGGTGTCTACTGTGTTTAACCTCTCATACATTTGTACAACCAGTCACTCATTCACACTCACAGCTAAGTGTAGTGAGAGTAACCCTTGCCAGGAATTGAACCTGGGTCATTGTCATGGTAGAAGACGAGGTATTATATTTTCTGTATCACATGTGAAGTTGTTATCATATTTTAATCTTTTATGAGGAATTCAATGTTTTACATTGCCAGGTTTTTTTTTGACATTTTTTCAGATTTTACCACTTACTGTCTTTAGATATTTAACAAAAGATGGAAATTTATATCATGTAATAAAATGTAGCACAAGTAAATTATTCTGATTTTTTTTATGATTTTGAAAATAAAGTTTTTAAAATTGTTTAATTCTCAGATTCTTCAAGCGATGGGCAAGTCGTATCATCCAGGATGTTTCCGCTGTGTTGTTTGCAACCAGTGTCTCGATGGCGTTCCATTCACGATAGACTCCGACCACAAAATATACTGTGTAAAGGACTATCATAAGTGAGTACAGATGCAATACAGTACACAATGCAATTCATACCACCTGCACTAAAATAATACAGTATTACAGTGAAATAAAATGGAACACTAATTTACATATCATGCACTAGCAATGTCATTATATAGGAATCATAAAAATGACATGCACAAAAATGGCCAAATATAAAACAAAAACTGTTTCTCATCCAGAAATAATGAAAAGGCTGTGGCTGCTTGGATGTTATTGTACTACTGTATATTCTAATCCAAATGCAATAAGATCTATTAGATCAGAATTAGGAATTGTTTTAAGATTGGTTTAACAATAGCTACTGCCTTATATTTAAAAAAATTCCATTAGATCTCTTCATTTTTCCATAAAACAAATTGTCTCCCCCCCAACATACTCAGTCATATACTGTAATCCTGGGCTAGGCACAAATATACTTTTTGGTGCTTTCTGCAGTTGTGTGTGGGTATTTTGGCTTGTGATAGTATACAAGAAGCTGGCCTAAAGAAAGATTGAAAAGAGAAGAGAAACATGTTATTCTTTTTATTTGGCCTATTATCACATTTTATTCATAATCATATTGAAATATTGTGATTTCACCTTGTATCATGTCACACATATTGGAAAATTTTCTGTCTGCAATCATAATATCTAAAGAAAGTAAACAATACAGTACTTTAGACAGTCTTTTGTATTTAATAGTAGACTCAAGCAATGAAGGCTATAAGGTGGAAGATTTTATTGGTTTTCTAGCTTTTATGTACAGTGCATCAGGGAATCATTAAACTGAAAACCTAAGCTACCCCTCAAAGTTGGTCTACTAAATTATGTTGATACATAGACTGATGACTAATTCCCACACAAGACTCAATGAAGTGTTGTGCTGGAGCATGCATCCGTTATAAGAGAAGACCCTATAGAATGGCACTCCCATATCCCAATCTCATATCCCTAGTACTAGAACATCTTGTCAATGGAATGAAAACCTGCACTAAATAATACAGTATTACAGTGAAATAAAATGGAACACTAATTTACATATCATGCACTAGCAATGTCATTATATAGGAATCATAAAAATGACATGCACAAAAATGGCCAAATATAAAACAAAAACTGTTTCTCATCCAGAAATAATGAAAAGGCTGTGGCTGCTTGGATGTTATTGTACTACTGTATATTCTAATCCAAATGCAATAAGATCTATTAGATCAGAATTAGGAATTGTTTTAAGATTGGTTTAACAATAGCTACTGCCTTATATTTAAAAAAATTCCATTAGATCTCTTCATTTTTCCATAAAACAAATTGTCTCCCCCCCAACATACTCAGTCATATACTGTAATCCTGGGCTAGGCACAAATATACTTTTTGGTGCTTTCTGCAGTTGTGTGTGGGTATTTTGGCTTGTGATAGTATACAAGAAGCTGGCCTAAAGAAAGATTGAAAAGAGAAGAGAAACATGTTATTCTTTTTATTTGGCCTATTATCACATTTTATTCATAATCATATTGAAATATTGTGATTTCACCTTGTATCATGTCACACATTTTGGAAAATTTTCTGTCTGCAATCATTATATCTAAAGAAAGTAGACAATACAGTACTTTAGACAGTCTTTTTTATTCAATAGTAGACTCAAGCAATGAAGGCTATAAGGTGGAAGATTTTATTGGTTTTCTATCTTTTATGTACAGTGCATCAGGGAATCATTAAACTGAAAACCTAAGCTACCCCTCAAAGTTGGTCTACTAAATTATGTTGATACATAGACTGATGACTAATTCCCACACAAGACTTAATGAAGTGTTGTGCTGGAGCATGCATCCGTTATAAGAGAAGACCCTATAGAATGGCACTCCCATATCCCAATCTCATATCCCTAGTACTAGAACATCTTGTCAATGGAATGAAAACAGGTGGTTTTTACATCATATCTGTTTTATCCATTGACGTGTTTTACACTGCAGGAAGCAATAGGTATTAAAGAATTGGACTCTTGCAAATTAGCATGTGCCGTGATTACCAAGGGACATAATAGATTCTTTTCCATCTGCATCTCCTCTCGCCAAGAACCCATTGTAAATAACAATGGGGAACATTAAAGTTGTGCTCTCACAACCTGATATCTATAATTTTGGGTCTTCATTCATCCATCTGTAGTGTTAAAATCCAGAGCTACAGTATACCTCTTTGTGATTGGCTATAATTCTGTTGCTTCATTAGCATAGAAGCACCTGTTCCCATTTGTAGTGTATCATGTGTACCTATGCTTTGTAAAACTGCAATTATTATAATATAAATGTTAATATAGGTGTTGTATATGCATCACTGACATTGAGGGAGCTCCATGTGTGCCTCAATTTAAACTTCATTACTGTTTAATGGTGCTTCTATAATTGACTTCGCCAATGTAGAATTTCAATCCGATTACTATAAATAGATTCCTGTATTTTATGAATTGAAATTCAAACTTCACACTAGTACATTATTACAGATTTATACAGGTATTTATTGACTTCAGTTTGTATCAGCACTACCTTATTTATGTAAGCAGGACTGTAAAATATATTCTCGATAACCATCGGGTATCATAGTATTTGGAAGGCTTTCAATGTGTCAGAAAAATTTGGTATACTTTTGATGTATTAATCAGTTCTGTAGTTCCTCGGGTATACTGTAAGCCCACCCTCTACTTTATGCCAAATTTTATGCACCAGCCTTCCCACTGGCAAAAGTATAGGGTATGTTTTTTATAAATATTCTCGGAAAAAATACATAGTATTGGCTGTGAATTAGGCATACAGTGCCAAAAGATTGCCGTTAATTGAAAAAGGGAACCCGGGGTATTAGCCCACCTCCAAAAATTGACCCAATTTTGTATTCAAGGGGGTTACCCAGTACCAGAGGAATTACGCGGCCATCCCATGGCAAAAAAAAACGTCATTTTTTTTTTTGTTTTTTTTTTTTAAAGTTACGTTGCTTTGCCATGGAACGGCTGCACGGAAGTTTGATATATATAAATACATGGCCAGCCATCCGGGAGGAAGCACAACAGCTGGCTACGTAGCATGTTAAGATTACTGCCTTATGTATTTATTGGTTATATTGTCGTTTTCATTGGCTGATAAATTCCATTGATTCCCATGCTCCAATCGTGAGCATTGAATTATACAATTTGCTTGGATTTTGTTTTGGGGGATGTTTGAGATATAGATTTCAGGCTTACTGATTGTCCAAGCAGTCATGTTAAATAAATTTGCTATTATTATATTACTGTATATAATAATGACACTGATGATCAAAATAATAATTAAAATAGTGATAATAATAATAATTTTAGTTAATTTATTTTGTTCATTTCATACATACAACCGTAGTGTCAACAATCTAAAAGGACAATATCTAAAACTAAAAATAAATTTATAATATTTAATTATGACATTATCATAATTATAATATAAAGATGATAATAGTAGGCCTAATGACAATTTGCTATAATTGTTATGTATTGTACAGTATGTACAGTACAGGCTACAATGACAATGTAAACATACAAATTCCTTTGAAATACACAATGTAAAAAAGGACTGACCATTGAGAATCTAAGTACATGGGCTTAGCCCCCAACTGATGCATAATTCTTGTCTGAGTGCTAAGCTACAGTATGCTAATTTATGCCCTGTCTTGTAGGCCTTGAGATCTCTGACCCTAAACAATAGAAATTAATGTATGTTGGAAAGCCATTTGTGATGAAAATGAAAAGAGGATTAAAGTTAAAGAGCTTATCATTATAAGGAATATACTGACTTAAAGTGTTGTCTTTGTGTTTTTTTAGTTTTATTTTCCTGTGATACAGCCTATAAGGTAATATAATGCCAGTTAAATACTCTCCATTAAACAGATTGATGTTACAGTGGCCTTACTGTATTAATTGTTTTATAGTACAAATTCACAAAATTTACAATTTATTTTGAAAAGAAGCCTATCCTCTTTACTTTGCAAAAGTAGTCTCGAAAAGAAGCCCATCTTGAAAAGAAGCCCATCTCAAAAAAAAGCCCATCAAAGTTTGCAAAGAAAAGAAGAAGCCCAGGGCTTCAATTCGAGGTTTTACAGTATTGCAGGGTGGCATGACGCCTTAGGCGGGCCTCCATAGCTGTAGGAACACGAGCATCTTCTGCCACTGTTGTGCCTCTGTGGACAATCTGCTTCCATTGGGAGCAGTTAGCTGCCTTGTCCTCCCATGTACCAACATTGATGTTAAATACTTTAAGAGTTCTTTTCAGTGTGTTTGTAGCGAAGTTTGGGTCTTCCAAATATATAATAATAATAATAATAATAATAATACTGTATTGATTAAGTGCCTTTTGCTAAAAGCCTCAATGCATTTCACGTAACAGAATTTTTTTTTAATAGATATAAGAAAATAAATATATATAATAATATAAATATATAAGAAATATAGTAGTTATATATACAGGTATAGTAAGTATAGTATAGTAGTTTTATAAATAAAGAAATATAATAATTATAATATAGTATAATAAATATAGTAGTTAAATAAGAAATGTTGTAAACATAATTAATTGATTATTTTAAGTGTGTCATATAATAAACCTCATATAAGACCTAATTATTTACCTAGTGTGTGAAATTCATATTGTGTAATGTGGATTCACTTATTCAGTGTAAAAATTCCTGCATAGTTATCACTGAGAAATCTGATCAATGATTGTAAGACCGTAGGAGGATTTCACTTAGTGCATGCTTAACTGCATCCTGGTTGAAGTATGTGCTCTGAATATGAAATGATTCTGTTGTTGATCATCAAGGAAGTTGGGAAGAAAGGATGGTTTAATAGCAGAATCCATAGAATACCAATACCATTATGGGATATCATTAATATGCTGCAGCATGGATATCTGGTAACATAATTAGTATATCATATGAATATGCATCAATATTGTATGATAAACTCATGAATATGCAGAAACATGGATATCTTGTGGAACATTAGTACTGTATGTCACAATGAATATGCATCAAGATAATATGATAACTCTTGAATATGCAGCAGCATGGATATCTGGTGGAACATAATGAGTATGTCATAATGAATATGCATCAAAATACCACAATATGATAAACTCGTGAATTATGCATGATACAATAGCATTGTAATGTATATTTAGAAATATTTTATTTACTAAACTACAGGTAATTTCATTTTATGTTTCCTTCTACTCATGCTTCTTAGCAGAAGGTATTACTTTTAATTATGTTTATTTTTTGCATGGAATTTTTTTTATTAGTAAAAAATTATTGGCATCATTATCATTTTGATATTATCAGTAACCATCGATTATATTGATATGGTAGGCTGGTCATCACGGTCACCATTATTATCACCATCATATTTTTATGATGATCATCATCATTTTCACATTCAATGCCATTTCATAATTATATCATCACAATCTTCACTACGTCATGATTTTCACATCACCATAATCATGATCATGTACATTTCAGTATCTTGATATTCATCACCATATCACCCCAGTGATCACACTCATAATCATATTGGTACTGTATGTCATGATATGATCATCACCATATTTATCACCAGTATAGAGTAATCACCATTATCATGCACTATGTCAGTATGTCATGATCATCATGATAACAAAAAAATATTACATAGTCTTTACCATTTCCAAAGCCTTGGCATCTCATTAGCATATTCATTGCTTGTAGAATCTTAGCCTGCTGAAACAATCATTGATAGATAGAATAGATCTGAGACAGAGGTTTTTTTCATTTGGGGATAATTGCTGTAGCTTCTTAAAATAAAGAAAATCATTTTAGCAGCCGTCAGATAAATAAATAATTTAATTTCATGACATTATGTACCATATTCAGAATTGATTTTCTTCTTGCCTCAAGGAATTGTCTCACTGACACACATTGGCTCATAAATATTCATATTTTTTAATCATGAGTTTTTACATATTAAGATCCTATCTTTTTATTTAGTATCACTACATAGTATTTTGTTTATCTTGGTTTAAAACCACCATGGCAATGGCAGCTTAGATGATTAACAAAGGATTAATTTTATTTGGTTGTTTGGAGTATAATACTGTAGGTTTAGAAAATACTACAGTGTAGGTTGTAATGCAATTAGAGAAAAATTTTTGCTTTTTATTGAGGAGCATATTTTTGGTAAATGGAAGTGGTGCGTTAGAGGCTTGGCTCTTTTATTTTGTATGATATTTATACAGAAATAATGTTCAGCTTTTCTGGGGTTTTTTTTATGTTTTCTGTGGGAATAAATGCATAGATTTAGATTTTTAAAATGGTGGAAGGTAGAGATATAGGCTGCTGAAAATGTGTTGATTACATAGAGTTTAAAAGCAGTTGTGTAGTTGCATAGATTAAAATGTGTTTGACAAAAGGGTACAGTAACCATGCATTGCACTATTTTTATTGACACTATTTTTATTGACACTATTTTTATTGACACATTTGGATATTATTATTATTATTATTATTATTGAAATATTATTTTTTCTTATCTGATAGGTTGGGTTTTCTTCAATTTGAATCTACACTTTCTTTTTCCCTGACTTTAAAACATAATCTAGGCCTTTGATACCACTTTTTTTTAATTTATTTTTATATTTGTCTAAAATGTGGGCAAAGTGCAACCCGATAGTAATTTTTTGAGGGCCCGCAAAAACAAATTAAAAACCTGACACTGTGTGCGGCCCGCTAACTATCTTTGGCTAGAAAACACATTGTTTTTTACGGCCCGACACCGATCTTCTATAAAAAAGTAATATTTAAAAAAATGAGAATAAAGTGGTATAAAAGCAGCTCATGAAGGTTTTTGGAAGCAAAATTGAACCATCCAAATTTGGATGCGGCCTTTGGTGTTAAATCAAAAATTCATGTTGGCCCTCCGACTGATTTTTATGCCCACCCCTGATCAACAATGATGACTTGAATGATGAAAATCTGCTGCAGACCTGGTATAGAAAAGCTTCTTGATTTATTACCAATAGAGGGCGCTATTACAATCTTGCCAAATATTGTGCATTTCTAGATGAATTATTTGCTTTGTAGTTTCATTCGAAACATTTCATTGCTCAATTAAATGTGATGCATCTTGTATTATTTTCATTAAGAACAAGACACAGTGTTTCCTACTGGAATTTACACTGCAGTTCTCCAACAAGATTTATCCAATTTAACATTATTTCTTCAAGTTTTATGTAATTGCACAACTTAATATGTTGCAACCATATCCGTTTTTAACTATTGATTTATATCACCGTTTCCAAAATTTTCTCTTGTTTCACGTTCTATTTTAGTTTAACGACAATGTAAGTAGAATATAATCCCACATGTTGTGGCATGTCGTACATTACTGTATATCAAATTGAAAAAAAAACTATAAATTCTTCAGCAAGATTGATCGTTGATGTGTAATATTAAAGCTTCAGTTTAAGCATTCTTGTGTATTTTTTTGTCTATATATTTTGCTGAGCTCTGTCCACACTATCAAATGTGACTAATATCTTGGATTTGTCTTCAAGGGTCATTTCACACCAACGTGTAGGACGGATGATGTCATACCTCACCCATATATGGGCAAATGACATATTTTTTCACATACTGTAAAAGTAGGTAGTGTGGACAGAGCTTTATTAACACTGCCTTGAGGAAACTTTCTTAATTAAGTTAATAAATGATAATCATTTTTTATATTATATTTTTATTTTTTTTTATTTCTCGTATTTTTCCTTTTTTTTTGTGTTAAATTTTGAACAATTTTTTTTTGTTGATAAATGGTTTTATGATCAAATTTTATTGTTGTTCATAACTTCACATTTATTTTGTTAGAATTTGGAGTCGCTAGTTGAAACAATCTTTTTGTAATATATCTATCTAAGATCCAGTTAACATTCTTTATATATTGGTGGTCTGTGATGTGTATTATTATATAGCATGTATACATGTGTATGTATTAAGTTATGGTTAATATTCTCCTTTCCCCATCCTTGTCAGTCAGTGATATTCTCAGTTATTGCCTGAATTTTTTAACCTCATATCAATACACCGTGTCATGTGTCAATTTTAAGAGCATGTATACCTTTTGATTATATATAGTTTTTGTTTTTAATTACCATTAGCGTAAGTTATTTTTGAATCAATGATACAGTTACAGGTATAGAATGTTAATTATGGTACTGTATTCTATAGCAACTACTTAATTATCAAAAAAATGTTGTTATTATTAATACTAATATTTTGTTATAACTCTCTTCTCTCCCTTATGCCAGAGCCAAATGGAATATGTGCCATATATTTTGCCTTTCTAATATCCTTAAAATAGATTCTAAAACAGTGACCTATCGCTGTGCTCTTTAAGACTGTTTTCCACTAGGCAAATTTATTCGAGCTATCAAAAGCGTTGGTTCATGGGCATTCAAATTTCCATCAGACAAACCTTCTATTAGATGAATTCTCTGTTCTTTAAATCTTCAGTTCAATCAGTAGTTCAAACTGTTTCCACGTTTTGCAAAGTGAAAAAATGCGCAACCAATCAGAGCTCAAAAAGTTTTCCTTCGCTCTCGTAGGGGGAAGTAATAAAAAGGTAGCGTAAATGTTTTCCCCTCGAAACTTTGTAATTTATGCAAATAAATTTGCATAGTGGGAAACAGGCTTTATTTTCAAATCCCTTCCTCGTCTCCTTTCTTTCCTCAGCCATAAATTCTTCTATAGTATTTCAACATCACTGATTTGACTGTAGTCACTCTTTGTCAATAGAGGGCAATAATACTTTCTCAACAAATATGTGCATATAATCATTTTTGTATTTTATCTGAACACAGTGTATAAATTATATCTGTTTTGAAGTTTAAACAACTGCATTTTTTTTATCAGATTGATATGTTTGGTTATGTCTGTGTACCCAAAGTATCTGTGATTTATATTCAAATTTTAACTTTTTTTTTTAAATTATTAATATATTTATCAATGGAAATTCCTAAATTCACAAAAGTAAAATACTGTTCCCACAGTGTACCTTTCTGTCATGCCCATCTCCAGATTAACATTAACTGTTTCCTCCAATCACAGATAAGATACCATCTAGCTACTTGCCCTGTCAGTTATTGTATATTTTGATTGGTTACACATTTGCCTGCCCTCTTTAGTTGATATATTTATCTATATTGTACAGAAAACATTAACTCTGTTTGCTTGTTGTGATCTGCCTTCCTCTTTAATTACTGTATTGCTTGGACAGGATAGACTTAATACCAACTGTTGACATCCACAAAACATCTTTGAATTTACAGATGCCTATCATATGAGGCTTGCCTTCCCAAAACCAGCATACCATTGCTAAATGTTAAACAGCAGCTATTTGCTAATGGAGCATTTTAAGGAAATTCGAACCCTGTACTCATATCGATTCGATTCAAGTCGATTCCAGTAAATGAGCTATCATTTTAAAGCATATAATGTGGAGAATGAATTTATTAAAAATTCAAGTTTTTTGTTTTGGTCACACTGGTTTGTTTTGGCATGGCATGCCCCATGACTAATTGTTCTTTTTACCAAAAGTTTTTTTAATGAAATTTAATAATTGACGGTAAATTACCAGTGTGATAATTGTATCTGTTTTAATACCAATGTCCCGTGCTAGGTAAAATAAAAATGATGACAAGTCATAATTCCCTATCGACAACCATGGATGTCAAAACACATTGAGGGCAGCAGACTGAGTTAGTTGTGGATAAGGAATTCATGACTGAACGTTAATGCTATCCTATATCTATAGAAATGTTGTATGATTAAACAAACATTGAGGGCAGCAGACTAGACTTTACAAATCAGTCAACTTTGTAATAATATGTAGGCTACCACTGACCCTCAACTGTATAATAATAATAAATTTTATATATTCCAGTGTATATCTTTAATGAGTTTATCAGCTTGTGGATTATCATATATTTTAAACAAAAGCTTTGTCTTGCATAATACATTAAAAAATCTCACACAAAGCAGCGTCATTGTAGTTTGCAAGTTTTATTCATGAGCACATTCTTGGTTTGAGAGTACTTTTCATTAACAAATCTGGGATCATCCATAATCCTGGACTCATACAGAAACACAATTTGTCACCATTGCAACCATTCTGCACCATCCTAAAGTAGTGTAAAATTTTTCATCAACTATCATCTTTCTTTTTATTGTAGAATGGAATTTTAAAATTGTGAATATAAATAATGAATTTAAACAATTTTTAATTGATTATTTCTACTTTTTCTTCTTTTTTTTTCTTGATGATGGTATGTTAGAATTTTATCTACTACAACCATATACCATCTTCAAATCATGCAGTCAGTTTCTCATATAACACCGCTTCTCTTTTTCAGAATTCACGCACCGAAGTGTGACGTTTGTGGCCAGCCTATTACCCCGGTAGAGGTATTTCCAATATTTGCTTGCACCCTATCTACTAACATCTACTCTGCCTTTGTTGGCAACCTCATCTTCATCCCCATACTCATCATCTTCATCAAATAACATTGCACCAAAATGCACATAGGTGGCATCACAAAAAAAGAGCACAGATGGAATATGCAGGTGTACTGTAAGGTTCATTTGGTGAATTTCTATGTTAGGCATCATTTTTGTACCATGTTGTACCAGAGGTACAGTATATCATTTTGTACTGGAGGTATACCATGTTGCACAATTGGTGATCTTTTAGCAATGGTATACATTGTTATACTATAGGTATACCATTTTGTACCATAGACATGCCAGATGCAGTGGTACCAGTGTTGTACCATACTGTAGGTATACCATTTTGTACCATTGATATACCAGGTGCAGTGGTACTAGGGATATGCCATGCAGTATCCTACTGTAGTTATACCATTTTGTACCATAGGTATACCAGGTGCAGTGGTACCAGGGGTATACCATGCAGTACCATATTGTAGATATACCATTTTTTACCATAGGTATATCAGGTACAGTGGTACAGGATGTGTACCATGTAGTTCCACGTTGTAGGTATACCATTTTGTACCATAGATACAAGGTGAAGTGGTACCAGAGGTGTATGCAGTACCATACTGCAGGTACTGTATATCATTTTGTACCATTGGTATATCATTTTGTACCATAGATATACAATGATAATTCAAGTTTTACCTTAAATACAGTAGATGCAGAAGGGTACCATGTTATACCACAGGTATACTATTCTGTACCTTTTACTGTAGGTGTATTATGTTAACCAGATGTTTACCATAAATAAAATCGTGTAGTTTTAGCACCAAGTGGGTGTGGGGGGAACATGCCGCGTATTTGGCTCATATTTTGTTCCTCAAGCGGAAACCTATGATTTCATTATAAACAAAACATAAAATGTAGACATAACCAAATTCAAAAATAAAATAAAGGAGGACAAATAAATTGCAAACCAAAATTCTGAACACACAACTAGATAATACTTTTATATATTTTAAATATCTAAAAATGAGCCTTGACTCAAAAATTATAAATATATTTTTATCCTTATCTAACCAATTAGGTCTACTCTCTAATGGGTGAGAAAAGCTCTGTTCTGATTATCAAATTTTCTTTGACAAAACAACTGTTGTATGCCCATATTTAGCCAAGATGTGCCTATAAATGTTCATGATGTAATGTCATGACTATATTTGGGCATGTCAAATGTTTTTGTCAAATAAAATTTGATAGTCTGGACAGGGCATATGCAGAAATTAAGAATATTAATTTGAGAAAATCCACAAAAAGACATAATTTGGTTTGTGAGGCATCATGCAAGTTGACCCATATTTACTTCAACTTTATTGATAGGAGAAAGCCAACCTACTGTTTCTGGTATTGTTTAGACCACCTGCATAATATTATAAAAGAAACAATTAATATATATATATATATAATGCTATAAACTACATTGAACAGCCTAGTCTATAAAAAAAAAATATGCACTGTTAATAATTATTGAATACAAATTGTTTAATGATGATCAATGATGAAAAACATCATAATACGTTGATTTTTTACAATGTTGGCCTATCAAGGCAGTTTGGGTTTATTACATGAACTCATCTTAACCCATAAACTTTTAATCTGTTCCAAATTCATGTAATAAATCAAAATTATCTTATTATCAACAGTTAAAATGAAAATACAAAATGATTCTATGTCAATGAAATTTACTTCTAAATGTTATTTTAGTAATAGCAATAATAATAGAGCAATAGTAAATACTATAACATTAAATTGATAATTTAAAAAATAAGAATAATAATACATAATAAACAACTTAATAATCCACCAAGAAGGACACTGATATAATTATAATATTTATAATGTTAACCACAATAATAATAAATTTGATATTAAATATCAGTAACAATTGTAGATTGTAAGGTAACTATCATGCCGTTAATAAAAATACATAAATGTCAAATTTTATAATATAATCATTGCTACATGTTATTTAATAATAATTTACAAAAAGCAAAACAGTAATTTGATTGTGTGTATTTCAGAAGACAATAATTTGCATAAACAATGCATAATATATGAAAGCTTTTAGAGAAATGCATAATTAAACATAGACTTAACTAATGCAGTAGCTTGTGGTATATGATCCACTTAATGAGGCGACCACCTCTTATGAAACCCTTCACCAATTATTCTTTGTCTATCAGTAGACTTGAATTTTAATACAATTGGCCGCAAATCAAGGGCCGCTAAGAACAGCTTTCAAAGGTTGATCTTTTTCAATTAGAAGGCCGACTCCACGCTGTGAAAACCACACATAAGAGCTGGGTCTGGTGTTCACCATTGTGAAAAGCTTCAGTTTCACAAGTGCTCTTGTAGTTGTACATTAGGAGAAGATAAAAGCTTTTTGATTAGGGGAGGAGACTTTTTGAGTAGTGTGGTTAAATTTAAAGCAGAGTAGTCTCTGAATTGGTGGTTATGAATAATAATAATAATAGTAATAATAATAATAATAATAATAATAATAATAATAATAGTAATAATAATAATAATAGTAATAATAATAACAATAATAGATAGTAAGTACTTTAGCTTCAGAAAAAGAAACATTGGTTATTATTTTACTAGTATTGATGTCTGTCTGGGCCTATTTGCTATTGACTGTCAATATTTAATTTATGATAATAAGTAAAGCAGGCCTTTTGAGAAGTAACCCATTAGTTGTGTAGCGTGCCCGGTTGAAATCGGACTCTATGGCACTCCTGTGCCGTAGAGAGACCCTATATAGTCTCATCTTTTTACGGTGTCGGTGGTAGGAGAACTCCTGCTCTTTTAATTAAGTACCAGGTTCTGTAAAGTACATAAGAGCCAAATTTGTACCCTTAAGCTGGCACTTACTGCCACGCGATTCTGTAGAGAACGCAATGACATACGCACCACCCATTATGCCACCTACAATCTGTGGGCGCCGTCGCATCGTCCAGCTCTCCCAGGGAATTGAGTTGGATTCTTCAGCTGATGGTTGTACGATGCAGTGAGTGACCAGCTTAATCCTCCAAGTCTGTATTTGAGAACACTTGTTTCTACAAACCACACCATGAGTGAGGTAGGTCTGAAACCAGTGCAAGGCTATAGATTTTGGTGCACCCCTGCTCAACTACACATGTAAGAAGAAAGTGAACCAGCAAGTAAAATTCCAGATTTGATATTTCAAATTGCATAATGATTTCGATAGCCTCACATCACTTCATGATTAAAACTTTTCTTCTTCTGTAACTATAAACATGCTTTACGCTGCGTTTGCTGTGACAAAAAAATATCTTGCTTATAAAAAGTGTGATGTTGCTTCTGGAAGTTGTAGAAGATATAACCATCCAGGGGAGTAGGTTGGTATCAACTTGGGTGTTCGAATATTAATGAATGGGGTACTAAATCCCTATTCTAATTAAAACTCAGTGATCCTTATTTTATTTTACAACCCACTTTAAGCGGAACTAAGCAATGGTAGGGGTGTTTCCACTCTCTCTGCCATCTTCTGTCTTCAAACTAGCAGGTGCACCAATTCTTGCTTTATATTTTGTAGAATGATTTGTCAGTAACAGTGGCACTGGGGGTTATCATGAATTTGCGGACATGGGTTTGGTTTCAGCTAGATTTTTGCTTGCTATTGGGTGGGGAAGGAGGCTTCAGCACCTCGTGGGAGACATGGAAGTTTTGGTACATGTGTCTAAACAGGCCATTTTCATCCAAAATAACCGAAAGCATCTACAAGTTATAACACACAAATAACAATCATTTTTTAGAAATATTTACTAATACATTTCATGTCTACAATTTCTAAATGAAGAATTCTATCCGGACAAGATTTATTACGTACATACATTGTTTTATTGTGACGCACAAATAACAACTTATTTGAAAATGTTTACTAATAATAATACAGTATACATTTCATGCCCACAAAAAATAAAGAAGAAAATAAAGACAACATTCAACCTCCAGGATTCCAAAAATCAGCAATGCTGAGCAGGACATGCTGGTTAAATATAGTAAACTTTAGGTCTCCCTCTAATTAAATACCACTTTTGGGACCGGGGTTTTCGTAGTCTTTTGTTGCTTTGACCTCTAATTTTAATAATAAAGATAAGATATTAATTTATGTTGGACCGCAGAAAGTGGTCTTTAATTAGAGGGAGACCGGTATTTATTTTGAAAGATTAATTTTATTTATTAAATTATCAAACCCCTCTTCTCCCCCCCCCAAAAAAAAAACAAAAAAGGGAAAAAAAATATTATCCGTCCCTCATAAATCAATATAAGATTGTGAGAATTTTGTATTAAGGCTTATTTCAGTAACGTTATAAATTATTGTAGTTTTTTGGATCTAATGTCTTATTATACTTAAATTAGAACCGTCATTCAAAGAAAGTAGTACAGCTACATTGAGCGAATAACTGATACTTAAAATATATATAATTTTTTTCCCAAGACAAAAGCTACTAATATGGTTTTGTTGTTTATTGTCAAGGTAATAATTGTTTACTTTCTTTACTGTTGCTAGGGAACAAATGAAACAGTTCGAGTTGTATCCATGAACAAAGATTTCCATGTTGATTGTTACAAGTGTGAGGTAAGTTGAATTATTGCAAGAACATATAGGCAGTAGTGGCTCAAAAAATTAGTGGACAAGGGGTCTGACAGGGGATACGAAACAAGGGGACATCTTGAACTTTGACCACAACCCTGGTCAATAATATATTGAATTGGCAATCACAGTAACTTTGTTGGATCGGCAGATTTACATTTTTAGTCCAATGTCATGGCGCCAGATGACAGGCATACTTCACACTCAATTCCAGACCCCTCTAATTTGAGACTGTAAAAATTGAATCTTCAATCTATCTTTTTAACACTATCCTACCCTCTAATTAAAGGCAAAACTGCCCCATATTTTCAGGTCCCAAAGATGGTGTCAAATTAAAAGGTGCATTTATTAGTAACAAAATGTTGAATTGTTTGTTCTTTTCTTCTTTTTTTTTTCTGGTTATGTAGGATTGTGGCATCCAATTATCAGATGATGCTGAGCATAGATGTTATCCTTTGAATAACCACCTGTACTGTTACACCTGCCATGTTAGTCACATAGCCACATCGCCAACATCCACTACGCACCCTTACTCACCGCAGATGTCTCCCCGCTCAGGTTATCAGCCATCACCGAAAAGGCGGCACCCCTCACAAAGTAGTCAGCGTTCAAATTCACCTCAGTATGGATCTTTATCCCCAAACTCAGGACCCGCATCTCCGCACCGAAGAACAATGTCTCCTCATAATGCTGCGTATAATTCTAGATCTTCAGTAACGCGTGGTGATTCGTTTCAAAGCCAGTCGCGTGGAGGTGGACCCCAGCAGTACCAAGATGGCAGGCGTTCTCCCCCACCACCGTACTCACCGCATGATCCACATCCAGGACAGTATGATAGTACGCACTTATCAAGGTATGGATCACAAGAACGAGGAATTTTTCCATATCCTGCACCGCAGGGAACAAGCACCGGTAAACACAGACAACCTAGTGACCGTACGTTGGAAAGCTATGTTGTAACTGACTTATGAATAAAAGCGATTTATAGAAAAGGGAATATTAGCTGGGATCGCTTACTGATGTCAAATCAGATGTCTATTTGATTTGAAAATTTGACTTAGATAGGCAATATCTACAATTGGTCACCTGAATTTGAGGTTCCTAGTGTGTTGATAGTACAGTCAAATTATTGAACCTTATTGGTGACAAAGGGAAAGAAATGACCCAACACTATTGATGAGGTAGTTAAATCAATCAATCTAAGATTTCCAGATCTACAGAAATACAGTATCTTTTTTATAAAACCCACCAACATTTTTTTATCTTCCATTTTAATGTCTTATATTAAACAGTTGTATAAAATGTAATTTTAATGAAGCTGTTCTTCATTTACAAAACATATTGATAAATATATTTGGATTGCTGATTAATGTTTTGAATAATTATGGCAGAAGAATGTCAGAAAGAATGCAGTTTAAAACTTTACTTCACTTTGAACCAATAACAGCTCATCAAAAATAACCAATGTTAATACCCAATACATGTAAAGTGTTCGGGTCAAGTTGGGTTTACCAGTTATCTTGATTGAGTATGTTAATGATGATTTGTTTTTGGTTTAAAGTGACCAGACCGTGTTTTCTGTAAACCTTTTTTTATATATTTGTGTAAATGCCCTCTTATTGGTCAATGTCCTGTAGAATGTTTACCACATATTTTAAATGTGATTTGCAGGTTAACCTTCATTTTGAATTATTATGATATTCATACTATGATATTCATACTTGTGTGTGTCCTGGCTATTCTAACTTTGTACTCACTATATTTTGTTTATTTTTTTATATAAAGATATATATATTGTCTGTGTTGGACTTTTCCTGTCTTTTTACAGAGTTGTCGTACCCTTTATTCCATCAAGTCAACAAAAAATAAATTTAACTTTGATATACTTTTTGAATGGTTGCAGGTCCAAATGCCACCAGAGACACTTTTTTTTTTCATACAACTGAATAAACAAGCTTTTCATTAAAGGGCTATGCTTGATACTTATTATTTTTTATACAGTGACACCAACCTCTCGCAACTTTTCGCTGTGGGGCGTCAAGAAAGTCCCCCAGTGGTAGTGGCCAGGTTCTCAGAGAGTTTCATTTCAAATTTAGCAAAAATGGTGTGTGTATATAATAATATTTACAACAGTTTTGAAATAGTCTGCCAGAAAATTTAATGGTCTTTGCAAACAATTTAATAAATGTATTATTAGTGTTTAAACCTCTGCTGAGGAAAGGTTATGAACCCAACACAGAAAGTATACCTTTAATCCAATATAAATTCATAACTACTGTATTTGAATTTGTACTAAATATATGTTTTCAATGTTTCCTAAATTTCTTAATGTTGTTCTTATTGTGATGGTTGCAATGTACAGCTCTTCATGATATGTATATACTTTTATCAGATTAACTATTATAAGGGTCAGTGTAAATTGATGTAGATGAGGCTACGCCGGTGCTGGATTACAGCCAATGAAGGGAGTGATATACACAGGATTTTTATTCATCCAGTAATTTTTTGGACTTCGTAGCATACTTGGCAACATTGAATGTAATCGTGTCAAATCTACTTCTGCTAGAATCCCTTCACAGTAGGGTGTTGAGGTTGTGGATAAATAGATGCATACCATTAGTCCTGTAAAGTGCTTTTTCAGATTCCGGATTACAGATTACCAATTTTATTTGTATGTAATGGTTGAATATGGGTCATCAACATTATGGCATTCGTTTATTTAAATGTGTCATGAGGCCTGGATGATGTATTCATCTGGGCTGGCTTAATGTATTAATGATGTATATACAACACTAAGTTGCCAGCATCTGTGAAATATTGTACCAGCAACTTTGTTCTCGTACCCTTGTATCCAAGTTGTTTCCACATCAGTATTCAATTACTTTTCTGTCTGGTGTATTCGGTATTCAGATTTTTTTCTGCCAGACTTATCAACCATCTAGCAGTATTGACTTGGGGTGGGGGCTGAATATGGATTGAAAGAACGTAATATAACATGATTTTTTAAATCTATTTGACCATAATTTTTACGTTCAGCCATTTTCAGTGGAGGACACCGACAGAAGCTTTTTGGGGGCTGCCAGCATTTTTAGAGCCACAAGCATTTTTAGGGACCCAATCCTCTTTCCACTGCAGACAATATATATTCAGACTTAAGGAGTACAGTATGCTTAAAGTTCCCAGTGGTGGAATTTGTAACTCAGACTAGATGTATTTAATCTGCTTCTTATTCCAATGCAGGACTAACTTCATTGTTCATGTAGGTTGTATAATTTTACATATTACAATGATCAAGTCCATTTTGCATAAATAGGGACATTATTCCTCAGGAAGGGAGTTATTATAGAATCATCCGCTCCCTCTTCCCATGTGGGGATTGTTACACACCAGGGGCGGATCCAGATTGGGAGGGGGAGACACGTCCTGCCCCCCCCCCACCCCGTTTGCCACTAAATTTTAAAACTTAAATGCATATATTGAAATTAGCGCTACTCACTTATTCTGAATGTGCTGTGCCCCCAACCCCTTTTGAAAAATTCTGGATCTGTCCCTGCACTCCGTGTAGAGTTAGGGTCTGCCGTATGTAGATGCATAACAAAAAAAATAAAATAAATCATTTGTAAATATAGACATGTTATTCAATTTTCTAGGGCATTTAAATTGAATTCATATACAGTATATCAAAAAATATGAAAGTGATCTGTTCCACTTCTGTTGGCTGGCTATGTAGCTAGAATACCAAAAAAAAAATAAAATACATGGTGTAGTACCCTTTATGTATTGACATATTTTCTTTTGAATTTTATCAACCAACTGTACGTTGGCATACCATTAAACTGGTTTAAACTAAACTATTAAGAACGTTGATGCTCTATTACTTTTATTGTTGTTGCCACAGATTGTAAGGGTGGCCGTTTTTAGTACAGTACTTAAGAAAAATTGTTTACTATTTTAATCCACAACCTGTGAATTACTGTTATCTGTCTATCTATCTATCTATAAGCTTTTATTCCAACAAATTCATAGCGCTGAGTGTCAAATTTATAGTAAAAACAAAAGTGAAGGTGATTCTGTATTAAAGTGGGAAAACATCCCATTTTGTGGTTGTTGGTGCTGTGCTTAACACAGATTTGTAGCCTGTCAGTGGCAAACGCCAGGGCACACACTGTGTCGCACGATCGTCGGCGAACAAATCCACCTTCGTTGAGCTCGGTTTCCATACAATCGCTACACTGTCGCTACAGTGGTTTTTTTTTGTTTTTTTTTACTGCAATCGTTGCACTGCGTAGCTGTCCCCGACGCGCAATCGGGAAGGCTCCTTGATTCGACTGACCAATCAGCGTCGCCAAAGGAGTTGGCGATAGCGTGGAGCGATTTTTATGGAAACCATGTTTTATCTGTGAGTGCGTTCTTCTATCCTCAATAACAGACAGAGCGAGCTGTCATTAAAAATGATCTGCAGTAATGCTTCCCATCCCCCCCCCCCCCCCATCTATTTTCTTCCATACACCACTCACTGTAGGCATGTGTGTCCAGGCTTACTTTCCGTTGATCTTAATTTTAGAGATGTTCACTTGTGGAAAAAGACGTCAAATTGGCAGAGATATCTAGTCCAAAAATTGCATATCAACACATGTCCCCACCCTTCCTATCTGTTTCTTCCCCAGTCTTTCCTCCTCCCCAAACTATCTAATTCAAATAATCCAGAATGAGCCAGAATCTATGCAGAACGATTTTAAGCATTTTTGGTGCGTGTAAATTTATCCGCGGTGATTAGAAGTCACCAACTTCATCTGAATATTTGTTGGGTTAGGATTTGTAGATTTTACTACGCGATTTATCCGGTTACAGTATCTTATCTTTTAACTATCCTTATTCTCTACCCCACTACCCTATGTACGGCGTAACTTTGGTTAATGAGAAAGATGCAATACCGTATCCTAATCAGTTAACGTCGAAAATGCTAAAATTCACTTTTATGATTTTCCCGCTGTCATACTTTATAGGAATGTTAAATAACTTAAGGTGTTTGTTCATACTTTCTGGCAATGGCTACAACATAATTATAATGATGTGCCAACTCAACGATATAGTACTGATTAAAGTTGTTGAGTTCGTGCTTTATTTTTTTTTAACAAATCCCATTCGAATCTTCTTTCAACTTCGTTACAGTATTATATTTACAGTATCTTCGGATTTTAAATATTTTCTATGGTGGCTTTTTGTGTGTAGGCCTGAAATGGCACATATTTCTATCAAATAGGCCTATTGATAATTGCTCTGAAATCATGGTATTAGGCCTATTGCTAAGGTCCCCACAGAACGTACGTACGTAAATTTGTATGTTTTATGGACATAAAACCTAACAGGCCTAATAAGTTTTCATTGGCCAGAATTAAGTTTGAAAATTATACAGAAAGCATGTTAGAAAAGTTCTTTTTAATACAATTTGATATGTGACCAAAACAATGTAATTGATCCCGTATATAATAAAGTAGTACTTAAAATATTTAAACGATTTTATCGACGGAAAACTTTCCTAAAAAGGCCGATTTTCCCTTTCACAATGTAATACAGTATGTTCCTATTCGCGTCTCAGTTCAGATCGCCACAAAAAAAAATCATAAATTCCTCCTGCCGCGGCAGTTTGCCGCTATCGTGCTCATTGGAAATTGGTCTAAATTTCACGTTTTAATGATTATTTAATTACATTGAGCGTACATTTTATCTCGTTTATTAGTAATACTGTATGAAACAATCGAGATTATACCCAGTAAATAGCAACATTATTCAATGCGACTTATCAGTCTCAGTCTTACTAAACAAAAATATGCTTTTCTTTTTGTATTATTGACTGCTGAATTTATCATACACTGTGCTTTACTCAGTTGAATATTATTAATATTTTAAATATTATAATTACCGGTATTGTACTAGTAAAATTATTGTTGTAGAATGAATTATTAGGCCCAATAAAAAAAATTATTAGTTTATCACCCTCGCGCGCATGCCTTTTATGGTACTGAAAAAAAAAAAAAAAAACTTTT